TTTTTTTTTTTTTTTTTTTTTTTTAACGGCAAAAAAAAATTGTGGACAGTTCAAAACTTGCAACTCCAGATAAGCCAGAGATGTGGAAAAGGTCCAGAAACTGTTTACTCCATCTTTGAACATGAGGGTTTCCTCCTGTACTGTGTGAATATTGCATAAAGCAAAAAAGAAGGTATTAAGCTCACATGGTTTTTTTGCGCAGCCACCATTATAGATAAAATTTCCTCCGTGTTGAGGCTTTATGCTCATTTCTTCTTTGACCTTTACAGTCTATCCTTGCCTCCTTGACGTTGAGGATTTGGCACAAGTTAATGTTTCTGAGCAGTTTGGATTTTATACTGCAGAGCAGGATTTGTACTTTTTTTTTTCTTTTTATCTAAAGAAAAAGTTATTCTACAAGAGGTTGTAGTTTTTTTTCTTTTTTTTCTTTACAAGCCCAAGCCATTTGCCCATTTTTATATGCCCGTCAAAGACGTGTCTTATTATGGTATAGTCTCTGTCCTTCCATACATACTTCTGTAAACTTTCTCTTGTCCCGTCCATAAATTGTTGAACAAAACTTCATACACGTGCATCTAAAAAATTATATTATCATGGACATTTTTCACATATTATTTGTCAATTACTGCAGAAATTGAAACTAGTATATAACGGAGTGAAATTTTTCAAGCCTTTATTTTTTGCAGTTTTGATGATCATGACTAAGAAAAAAATAAAATTCATTGTTACAGAAAATTAGAATATTGTGAAGAGGTTCAATATTGTAAACTACTTGTGTGGTGTCACACTAATCAGCTGATTAACTCCTAGACATGAGCTACAAATGTCACATTCCTCAAGTGAAGCCACTCCTGAACCAGAGACCTCAGAAGCATCTTACCTGGCTGAGTAGAAAATGAACTGGACTGTTGCTCAGTGCTCCAATATCCTCTTCTCAGATAAAGTAAATTTTGATGTCATTTGGAAATCAAAGTTCCAGAGTCTGGAGGACGAGCGGAGAGGCCCACAATCCACGCTGCTTGAAGTTCAGAGTGAAAAGTTTCCACAGTCAGTGATGGTTTGGGGCCATGTCCTCTGCTGGTGTTGGGCCACTGTGTTTTCTGAAGTCCACAGTCAACGCAGAATCTACCAGTACATTTTAGAGACTTCATGCTTCTTTCTGCTGATGAGCTTTATGGAGATGCTGATTTCATTTTCCAGCAGGACATGGCTCCTGTCCGCACTGACAAAAGTATCAAAATATGCCTGTGGAATATTCAAATTTTCTGAGACACTGAATTTAGGTTTTTCATCATTTGTAAACCATAATCATGAAAATGACAAGAAATTAAGGCTTGAAATATTCCACTCTGTGTGTAATTACTCTATGTAATGAATTTCACTTTCTGAAATGGTTGACAATGTTTTTCCCCACTTTTTTTTTGCAATTTTTGTAGAGATGCAAGAGATGCACCTGTATATATCATCACTAGAAAGAGTATTCTGTACACTTTTCATCACACCAGCTCCAAGGTCATGGTCACAAATCAAGGTCTTTGCTTGTCCGGGTCATTGCTGTATAATTGTTTGTCGACTGGCGTATAATGTGCCTCATTCTGTACTTTTGTTGTTTTCTTTTTTTTTTCTTACTGCGGTCACATGTATATGGTGTCACCATCACTCAGTACATAAACTGCCTTTCCAGAGAATGGTGGAAGCTGTACAAAACAAAAGAAATCTATAAATCTACCATTTTTAGGCACTCTAAAGCTTGAAATGATAGTTTTTAACCTGTGTAGTATTCTTTTAGAAACCCAACAGTAACAGTCGGCGCTCTCTCTTCATTGTAGAAATCCGGTCTGGTGGCCGAGGCCCTAAAGATGGATCTGTGAAGCAGCTGCCCCTGTACGACACGCCGTACGAGCCAGCCGAGAACGGTGGGGATTCTGACCCCGAGCGCTTACGCTGTCCCAGAGAGAGCCGACTGCCTCAAGATGACGAGCGACCCCCCGAGGAGTACGACCAGCCGTGGGAGTGGAAGAAGGAGAGGATTTCTAAAGCCTTTGCAGGTATGAGGGTCCACCTTTCTACACACTGTCAAGGTGTTTTAAAACAAACCTAAACAACATGTTGCTTGTTGTAGAGATGATAGGATCAAGAATATTGTTGAGAATAAAATAATAAACAGCTTATTCTCTTTTTATTCACCCAAAGACTTTTTAACTTTAGAATTGTTAACACCCTCCATTTTTCCTGTTGAACAGTTTTTCTTTTCCAAATTACAGAAACGTTTGCTTAAATCTTATTTTTCTGCTGTATTAAGGGTTTCTTCATGGACATGTCTGCCTTTTAACACAATTAAACCCAAATTTGTTTCTCCTCTGCTTTACTAACCCAAGTGTTTGTTCTTCCAGCTCCAACAAATGTTATTGTTGGTCATTGGCGGGTTAGTGATGGTTCTGCTGTTGCTTTAAACTCTTTGTTTAAGCTTCCTTTCTTCTTCCTCTCCGTTAATGCATCCGTTACATTCATTTCACAGGTGTCTGGGCTCCTGTTGGCTGTTTTGATCCTACTCCTGCCACTTTAAACTGAGTTGATACCAAAGCTGTTCTGGGAGGGGGGGGGGGTATGATTGGTTATGCAGGTGCATGTAGGTGCAGGTAGTCTCTGTAATCTGAGAGCTTGAGCATGGCTAAAACAGCCATAACATTAAACAGGGCTGTTCCTTAAAAAAACTACGGCTTTAGAACACAACACTTCAAATTTAAACAAAACAAGTTGATGCAAAGTCTTTTACCAGAGGGAGAAATAAATTAGCTTCCATGACTTTTCCTTTTTATAGTCACTTTTTTCTTTATATATATATTTTCTTTTTCTTTTTTTTTATCCTTGAACAGCTCTGCTTTGTTATGACTGCATTAGCTACGAGGGCTCTATAAGTGGCACTGGATCAGGTCCCGACGGAAGAAAGGACTGCACTTCTAAATCCCTCACAGGTACCGCTGGAGATGGGGCTGGGGAGGGGGTGGGGGTGTCTTTCTTTTTGCAAATATGTTCTTAGAATATTGACACATATGCCTGAACTTGTAGATTCATACTTAAAAAAAAAGTGCAAAAGTTCAAGATTTGCAGCAGTTACCGTAATTTTAGCTGTATAGGTCACAGTTTTTGCATAAATTAGCATGCCAGCGACTTATACAGTGAAGTGACGTATTTGTTTTTTGCCCATATTTATAACCCAATTTTTGGCTGAGATCTGACGATTTCATTCATTCTGACATGGAACATATTGAACACTACCATTTTCAGCCACTAGAGGGCCCTCGATTAATATGGCAAGCCAAGTGTTTCATTAATAGGTAAAAGTGGCTATTAATGAGACACATGGTTTGCCATACCAAGCCACCTTCATCTCGCTCTGGAACTTCTGGAGCACACGTCAACCGTCCCTCTGCGCGCTCCCTCTTCCACGAATTGGCTTTTGAAATGCAGCTGATTTGATGGTCAAAGTGCATTTATTAAGGAGAAGTTCAACTGAGAGACACCTTTACTATAATTTTGCACAAACAAATTATTGTTTTTAGGTGGTTATCTTGTTAAATTTTGAAGAAATGCACAGCGAGTCGTCCCTCTGCGTGTTCTCGTTTCCGTGAATCAGCTTTTGAAATGCAGCTGAATTTTCCATCAAAGTGCATTTATTAAGGAAAAGTTGAACTGAGACACACCTTTGATATAATTTCGAGCAAACAAATAATTGTTTTTAAGTGTTAATCTTGTTAAATTCTTGTTAAAGTCCTCCCATGCACGCTCCCGCGGCCGCCATTTAGCAGCTAATCGATTTTTGGCACAACACAGGCCCACATTTCCTGGTTGTCAGCGGTGATGCGTAACAAATGCGACGCGTCAGCGGTGATGCATAATAGATGTGACTCATACGTCGAAGCAACGCATTTGTTTTTTTCCACTTTATTAGACATATTTGGACTGATGTGACTTATACGGCGGTGCGACATGTATGGCGACAAGTACGGTACTTGGTCTTTTCCGTGTTTGAGTAACATTTTAAAGTGATAATTTTATCATAATCTAACCTGTGTGGAAAATGTCTTAAAATAACGTAATTTGAATGACATTATCAAGAAGCTACTTATATAATTAGTTGCTTGCATTAAAAAAAAAAAAACACTTCATATGAGCCTTTTTGTAGACACAAGTGTATCAAGTGCAATTAGCATTTGCTGTTGCACAGAGGAGAGGAAGGGCTGGTGGGGTGAAGGGTGCACAGGGTGAAGCACCCCTCCTGCTTAAAGAGCGCAGCAGAAAGAGAATGATTAACACTGAAGTTAGAGAAGCACTGACAATGCTCTGCGGCCTTTTACACATGCACAACACATCACCACGCAGTTTACTGCACAGCTCATTGCTTCCGCAGCCTCAGACTGTGAATTAAATTACACAGGCAGAGTGAAATTAATGGATTTGCTTGAGTTTTCTATTTCAATTTCAATAACAATTCCAATCATTCCTTGACCAAAGCTTTGAAAAAATGCATCTAAATTCTTGAAAGATAATATTTTTCCAGTCTATTTTCAAGATATGCGTGTTAATTTTCTATATTTTACAGGGAAACTTGGAAAAAAAAAAGAGCTAGGCCTTCATTTAGGTTGTCATATTGTAACATCTTAATTGCAACACAAGTGTTAAATCCTGTCATCTGGACCAGTTTCTTTAAGTGAGAAATGTTTCCGCCCCCATCCAGAGGACTTCCTCAATGTACGGCCTGCCAACCAGATCTGTCTCATAGGTAGCCTTCATTGCTGTGTTTCAAGCCAACCTCCTGTTGGAATCTCAAAAGTAGGCCTAAAACATTTGCTTGTTGTACATGATTAATTGTTTTGGATGGATGTGTTGTGCACGTGTTTAAAGTCTACTTTTGAGATTCCAGCAGGAAGTTGGCTTGAAACACAGCAGTGAAGGCTACCTATGGGACAGATCTGGTTTGCAGGCCGTAGACTGAGGAAGTCCTCTGGATGGGGGACGGAACAATTCTCACTTAAAGAAACTGGTCCAGATGACACGGTTTAACTTTTTTGTTGTTATCTACTTGGATGATTGAGCTTACAGTCCTTTTATCTTATTAATTGCTAATGTCTGACAGAGTTGCTGTGTGATTACATCACTTTCATTTCAGTTTTGCAGTGCAGTGACTAACGGTTTCACTTTTTTTTTACAGTCACAGCAGCCTGAATATAAATGCTGGTCGAAGCAGATGGCCACTTGTCCTGAGCCTGGTTCTGCTAAAGGTTTCTTCCTCATGAGGGAGTTGTTCCTTTCCACTGTCGCCTTCGTGTTTGCTCAAGATGAGAGTCTGCGATGGAGTTAAATTCAAAGCAGTCTATTCCTCCGATAAATAGTCTTAATTTATTATTTTTATACATGAATGTCTCTGTTCAGTGCCCTGAGACGACTTTTGTTGTGACTTGGCGCTATATAAATAAACTGAACTGAAATTAAAATACCAACCTAACACTAAACAGGAAAGCCAACAGGGACAACCCTTCTGAACACATAGCCTGAAAAAGTTCACTTTTCTGTCCCAAGATTATCCAGAAGGATATGTGACTCTGACAATCTCACATAGTGCAACATGTAATTTCAATAATTCTGACTGAAATTTAATAAGAACCCACATAATTTACAGTTTCTTTATTTCATCATGTTAAAAAAAGCAACAAAAAAAACTGTGATGTTGAATATTATTATAGTAAATATAAATTTGATATTTAACTTTTTTTTTTAAGCAGCTACATTTTAAGTGAAGATTTGTGATTTGGCTAGCCATTAGCCTAGCCTGAAAATACATTGTTCTTGTTCTCCAGACTTGAGTCTCTATGGCTGATGTTAGCACTGGTAAAATAATAACTACCAATGTTTCATCTACCATCATACAAGCTGGGCACCCTGCCCTGTCAACAGAACAGAGCACCCTGCCTACCGAATTGAACCCTCCCCCCCACCCCCGTCGACAACTGCAGGCACTGACGTAGTGCTAAGCTAGCGGCGCGCTATACAGACGTGCTAGCTAAATACTAGCGGAAGTGCTCGGATTCCCTCAGGGTGAGTCATCTCCCAAACCCCACCCCTGCTCGAAAACTTTCTGTACAGACAGTGCGCAACACAGACATGTCTCAGTCCTCTCCCCTGACAAAAGTCCCGAAAGTAACATAGGGGAAGCACTGACTAATGATGACTATTAGACAGAACTTCACTTCAAAAGTGACTGAGCTATTCCTTTAACCAAAGAAAGGCCATCGTGTGTTTCTGAACTGTAAATATTTTGGACATTTGTAATTGAGATTTAAAGTGTAAAAATTGTAAACATCTCTAAAAACATTATCATTGATATATTTTGTTTTAATTATAGGCAGGGTAGCTGACTCGGGATCCAAAAGTCCCAGGTTCGATCTCCAGTCGTTGCACATCTAGTGGTGTCTCTGAGCAGCACACCTTATCCCCAAAATGCTCCCCTGGTGCTTTTACTGCACCACCTGGTGGTGGTTGGTTTAATACAGAGAGCCAATTTTGCCATTGTATGGCAACATACAGCACAGTGATGACAACACATAACACATTATTATTATTATTATTTATGTTTGTGCTTTGAAAGCAAAAATCTGTTGCATTGTAAAAAGTCAAACGTGCACAACACGGAGGAGGTGAGCTATAATGACTTCTGGGGTTTTGTTGTGTTTCAAGAAAGCTTGCTGCCCCCTGCTTGAGAAATCCCAAGATAAATACCAACTTTTCAGTTAGATTTAGACATTTGTGAATGTGCAAATGTCTAAATCTAACTAGATTTAGACATTTGCACATTCACAAAATTAATCACCCTTTTATACATTTCTCAGTTCATATTCTGGAGCATTAAGAGATCAATGAAAACTTGCTTGTTCAGCGACCAGCACACCGATAATAGGGTTCTGTTGTAATCACGATCAACATACAGTGTGTGTACAGTCTCCTATGTGGCATTAGAATGACTGTGAGCTCATGAATCTCATTTGTGGAGGGAGAAAAAGAGGCTTAAGGGAGTATTTACTTCATATCTGCAAGCGAGGGGGGGGGGGGGGGGGGGTACCACTCTGTACCAGCCAACAGTCCATAAGGATAGTAAGACGCCTCACTTCCCACAGAGCAGGAACACAGGGAAACATCCGACTTTTACATGTTTAAAAAATTATAAAACAAACAGGCTTTCTTTTAACTGTGGAAAACTTGCAAATTCTGTGTGTTAAAAAAAAGTTGCAATCATCTTTTAAATGATTATCCATCCAGGGTTTCCTTTGCTTTTGATACTTTTTTTTTAAACAATATCGTTATTGAATTTTTGTATTACAGAACAAGCAAGTGATACTAGTACATTTAACATTAAATTTTCATCAAACAACATAAACCTCAATAGCTATGTTTACATGCGCAGAATTCTTTGACCGGATTGAAATGTGTTCTGTTTGAATAATTCAAATGTGTTGTTTACATGGGCACAATCTGTTCATGATGAGCGTTTACATGCAGCGGGCTTTGTTCTGAACAGCAGTACTGACGTGCACAGAGTGGTAAACTCTCCTTAAAAAAAAACACTGAAGAAGAAGTTCTACTTCCGGGGTGAACGTAAACAAACTAGAGCACCCAAAATGGACCCACGACAGGTTTTAATGATGGTGGAGGCGTTACTGCACTCCCTGACTGAGCTACAGGTGATACAGATCATTTTGAGCTCTTTCAAAGTTTCTGGTAGAAATCTTGTCACTCACTGACCAGTTTTGCTCCCCTGACATGCTTTTCACGATCAGATAAAAACGAACAGATCAAGCGTTTACATGCGCACCGATCGGGTTACGGATCGGCGTAAACCACCCGTTTCGTTCTGATCACAAATTATATCGGATCGCGCCGAATACACAAAAAAACCCCGAACTGAGTGTTTACATGACAC